TATTTTTAATTTCTCCAAAGAAGACATACAAATAGCCAACAGGTACACGGCGGGCGGGGTGCGGGGGGAGCTAACATTGCAGTCATCAGCAAAATGCAAATCAAAACCACAATGAGACCTCACACCTGTTAGACTGGCTATTATCAAAAAGACAAGGACAGCAAGTGTTGTCAAGGATGTGGAGAAACTGGGAGCCTTGGACGTCTTCCGGGAGGATGCAAAGCGGTGCAGCGGCTGCGGAAACCAGCCTGCAGGCTCCTCTGTTTTCTACTTTGGACTCTGATGGTAGTTGGTCAAGAGAGCACAGTCTTAATACCTAATTAAAGCCTTTTGATTTGACTTGGAGGCAGACCCTCTTCTGAAAGCACCTGGACATCCACAGTCAGCTTTGGGCCCCTGGGTGTCCTCTATCCATCCCCATATTTTGAGCACCTTCTCTTGTGCCCTGAGATGTGCACACATTAGTGAACCTTTTAGTAGCAAATGTCGCCTGTTACCAAAAGGAAGGGTGGGCACTCTGCAAGCAGGGGCGGCTGGTGAAAGACACAGATTTAGAAGAAAGGAACCCCTACAGGGCTGGGGGTGGAGGGACCTAGGAGGCTTCCGAAATCTGTTCCGGCCTCCCAGCTCCTAAGATGTGGACAGGGGGCGCCCCCTACGGCGCCCTGCCCGTTGCCGTCATCCCGTTGCCCACATGCCTTGGACCCGTGGGGTCCCTCGGCTCCCCTAACCCCAGCCTGAGCCGGACTGTGTCTCCACCAGCTTCTGCTGGTGCGTGGCTTGGAAGAAAAAGGGGACACAGGATCCCCCATGAACCCCCCCACCCCGGGATCTCATCTTTCAGGGGGTCTAACTTTTCACCCTGGAAAGATCGGCCTCTTCCTGGAACATGCCCTGCGTGTTCCATCCTTTACTTGGCCTTCCGTTACCGGGGGGTGGGGAGGTGGGGGAATGGGGGGTGTGCGTAGCTGCACACCAGGCCCCCGGAGGGCCTGAGAGCAGGAGGCCTGGGACAGAGCTGACCTCCGGTGTCACCGGGTTTGTCACTCAGCCGGCCGAGCTCGCGGTCGTTAATGGGGGCAGCAGTGCCTGGGTGTCTACACCCCTCACATCATCAGGGTAACCTTGGGAAGGAAGCCAGGTAGGTATTTTATCCCCAGAAACCGAGGCCCAGAGAGGCAGTGGGCGCGTTCAGGGCGGAGCCTGTGCTCGGCTGGAAGTTCCGAAACCTCAGAGGGCATCCCCCCTGCAGGGGGTCATCCAGCATGGGATCCCCAGGACCCCCACGGCAGGGCCAGGCTGTACAGGGCCGGCAGGACTTGGGCTTCACAGGAGACACCTTCCCTCCGCCTCCCGCTCCCTGTGGGCCAGTTCTCTCTGCCCCGGACGGTCCGGCCCTGCAGCATCCTGTCCTCCGTTCCCGCTGGGCCACTGTCACGATGGTGGGGAGAAGCTTCCTGAGATGCTCCAGGCTGCCCCTCTGAGGCTGCAGGGACACACAGGGGACACGCAGAGAGCTCTGGGCAGCCCTCTGGAAACTTCCAAAGGGTGTCGGGGCCCCATGCGGAACCCACCAGCTCTGCGGGGTCAGACTCTATGTTCTCCTTGGCCTTTTGGGGGTGTGGCCAAAATGGAAGCTGGGAGACTCCCAGTCAGAAGTCAAGGCTCACCTGGCTCGCCAAGGGGGGACCCCAGAGGAGGGGACGGTTCTGGAAGCTGAGACCACCCGGAGACCACGGCAGCTTGTTCGAGGGCGCCCGGCCCGCAGCCCTCCCTCCATCTCCCTCCCCCCTCCCCTTCCCACCCTCTTCTCTCTCCCTCCCTCCCTCCCTCTCCCCACATCCAGGAACCACTTCCTCTTGATAGTGGGTCAGCAGTCAAGTAAGCCATGAAACTGTTAAAGTCGGTTTCCTCTATCAATGTGCAGGTGTTTTTTCTAACCCAAATGCAAGAGTGCATCTATATTTTATTAACATTCTTTGAATGCCTACTACATGCAAAACATGACGCTAGTTTCTGCTCCGACACCCTCCGGGGGTCCCTGAGTGAGCCTTCCCCGTCCTGCTGGGCTGGTCATCTCCCCCACCGCAGCCTGTCCGGCCTGAGGTCGTGCTCTTCCCCAAGGGCACCGGGCGCTGCTGCTCTAGACCCGCAGCGCCCAACCTCGGCCTGGGATGGGCCCAGCAGCCCTCGCGCCCCCGCACAGCCCGGCTGAAGACGAGGCTGTCGTGGGTCCCTGAAGCTGCTGGGCCGACTCTCCCCTTGGGACTTGCCCCAAACAGGCCCTCTCAGCCTAACCTGACCACCTGCTGCCTCAGGGCTCCCCAAACCTGAACCTTCCCGTCTTCTGCAGAACTGGATCTCTTTACAAATACTATACAGGCACTTTTTGGTTTGCTATGTCCTCTCCGCCCTTCAGGAGGGCAGGGGTCTTTGTCTTGTACCCACAAGGGCCTGGACCTAGGAAGCACCCAGCACACATCTGCGGGAGGAATGAACGTGGAATTCAGCACCAAGTTCCCTTCCCACTCCCGCCCCGTGACAGCACGGTTGGAGGTCTATGACTTGTTTATGGTTCTCTCTCCTCGCTCTGGAGCAATAGAGACCTCGTGTGACTTTCTTACCTTGGCATCCACGGTGCCTTAGAACCCTGTGGGACCCTAACTCAGCACCTCTATGGAAGGAACGCGCTGTGTCTGCAGCCGCGAGAGGCGCACGAGGTGTCCTCTGCCGCCCTCTGCTGGGCGGACGTGGAGAGGCTCACGGAAGGCGGGCGGATTCTGGGAAGGCAGGGGCTGGACCAAAGACCAGGTGTGAAAACATCGTTTTTCATTCTAACACTCTTGAAAACAAACAAAGCTGCCCCCACCTTCCCAGCGCTTGTACAGTCTACAGCAGGACAACAATCCTTCCAGGTTTTAAAATATTCCATCCTGTTATCTTCATGAATAAACTTATCTGGCCGGCCGTCTCAATTTAGGGCTTTGCTTACTTGTGGTCTCTAGACTTTCTGCCTTGGAGGATGGTGACTGTGGATAAAAAAAGCCACTGCTACCACCTGGCTTGATGCAGGCTGGCCAAGGTCAGGCTGCTGCTAAGAGCTGGGGCAGCCATGAGAGGGCAGAGCTCACCCCACCTTTTTCCAGTTCCTGGCATGGGGGGAGGGTGACAGGGAAGGTGGGTCAGCCGCTGCCCCCAGCCAGGATCTGCCTAGCAGAGACCCTGTGTCCAGCTGCCAGCAGGGGTGTCCCACCCAGTCCCGCCTCCTGCCCACCAAGAACGCTGCCTCTGGTGCAGGATGTTTAGCAACAGGCAGGGTGTCCCCTGCTTTCGGAGGCGTCCGGTGCCCACGTGGGGCAGCTCTAAGTGCTGGAAAGCGCTTCCCCACTGAGCTGAAGGCTGCCTGCTGGTGATGTCTACTGTATCCCAAGAGGGACTAGGAGCCCAGAGACCCCTGGCATGCACCCCTGCCCCGAGTCAGCGCTGCACCACACTCATCACCCCGTTTGCCCAACTGCCCCTCGTAGCATCCAGCTTTGATGTGGACCCACTGTCCTTGCCTCCTGGACCCCTGACTGGTCCATGTCTCCTGCTGTAGGGAGGGGCCAGGACTGGACACGTGACTTGACTGGTACAGGAGCTGGCAAGAGCACCCGTCCCACTTTGGATACTGTACTTCTAGTGATGAGTAGTGACAAGGGGACAAAACTTCTGAGTCACATACTATGGCATTATGTTGAAATGGACGAAAGTTACCCCAAAACGCCTCTATCAAAACTCCCACAATCCCACAGCTCCAGATCTTAAATTCACACCTAAAAATGTATACAACTGTTCTGAGTCCACCTTTTTAATCTACTGAAATCATAGAAACCCCTTCCCCTCCTTCCTTCTGTGTTCTACTCACAGGAAGGAAGCTCCCAACTGCGAAGCTAGATGCAGTTTTTTCTTTTTAAACAGCTAAGTCTAGGGAAAGAGCTAATTAAAAAAGCTAAAAATCTCATTTGCCCAATTAATCATTTTTTCCACCACTTTTCTGCCTAAGCTGCGGCCCTTTCTTAGTGGAGGAAGGTGGGGAAAGAGGTGAGCGCACCACGCTTCCTGGGAGAAAACAGAACCAGGTACAAGTTGCTGGGGGAATGAAAGGAAGAAAAGGGTCACAACTGCATATGAGTACTGATGAGATGAGAAACTTTCTTCGTGCTTGGTGATGACCTCTTGAATAGCTAAGACCACTTTTTGCCTTGTTGCCCCACAGATGCCACGCTTTCCAAAGACACTTATGTATAAACCGGCAAGTCCTGGTCAGAGGCAGTCTCGTCCCAGCCTTCCGAGATGCTCAGATCCCATCTTTCCGGGTCTGTGTAAGCAGGTGTGTCTGGTGCCTGCGGACGTGGAACACCCCACATTTCGGAGGGGGCTGTGCCGTGCACCCAGCAGCAACGCCGACTGCCACCTCCACCACGCGGGGGGCTCGCCCCTCATGGAAACCTTTCTTCTGGGCAGATCTCAGCCTCCATTGAGCCCCGACGTACTTGCACCCCAACGCCCTCGAGGCAGAGACCGTGCAGTGTGGCTCTTGGTACCACGCCTGCCGGGAAAGCTGAGCCGCCCGGGCGTTGGTGGGAGTGACTGAGGTCCACCCCGCGCCTCTGCCCCCTGGAGCCCTCACGGCTGTGAGGCATCACCTTCCCCCCCTCGAGAAATAAGGATACAATAAGGGGAAGCTGGGATGAAATGAGAGAGTGGCATGGACTTATATATACACTACCAAAGGTAAAATAGCTAGCTAGTGGGAAGCAGCCGCGTGGCACAGGGAGATCAGCTCGGTGCTTTGTGACCACCTAGAGGGGTGGGATAGGGAGGGTGGGAGGGAGGGAGACGCAAAAGGGAAGAGATATGGGAACATATGTATGTGTATAACTGATTCACTTTGTTATAAAGTAGAAACTAACACACCATTGTAAAGCAATTATACTCCAATAAAGATCTATCAAAAACAGACAGAAGGTGTTTGGGTGTGACAGTGAAGGCTACAGAAATGCAGGGGCTATTCGACATTGCTCTTTTCCAGAGGGGGCTGTGGCGTCCCTGGGGCAGGGCTGGGGTCACTTCCTGGGAACCGTGCTGTGATCTTTTGGGGGTTCCCTTTCCTCTGGTACCCTTGGCTTTCTATACCCAAGACTGTTGACGAGCCTTTACCCAACATGGGGACAACACCAGACACATGCTGGCCAGTGGGCAGCACCTGAGGAGGAGGGATTGAGGCCATTCTGGAGACGCACCCCCTACCCCAGCCCACCACCCACAGGACGGCATGCACCTGGGCACCTGGGGAGAGGCTCCAGGCCGGCCCTCCCCTCGTGTTGCCTGGTGAGGAGAGGCCAGCTGCAGCCTAGGGCCCTTCTCTGGCTGAACGCCCCCCAGACCACAGCTCACCACCAGGTCAAGTTGGGCTGCATCAGGCCTTCAGCCAAAAAACACCCACCTGGTCCAGGGCAAGAAGGCAACACAAGTGAGCGAGAACGACACAGGGAGGGTGTGCACCTTGACTGTCTGCAGTATTTGAGGTCAGAAGACAGGTTTGATCTCTCTTTTCTGTAAAGCCCCAGACAGGAGAGAGCACCGTATAAAGGCCTTACGTGAATCAGGCCTAAAGCTGCCGACCCTCACGGTGGGTCTGGGCAGCCAGTGTGTGCAGTGGCGAGAACGTGGCCTTGATGTCAGGTCCACTGGCTTACCTGGGAAAGCTGTCCAACGCCCCTGCCAGCTGGGGATGGTGACGGGAGGAGGGAGCAGGGAGCCTGGAAGGAGAAGAGCTGGGGCACAGGGAGCTCTCTGTGCTGCACGGACATGGCCCTGGCTGTCTGCCTGTGGCCGCCCGTGGTTGCCTCGTGGTGGACGGCACGCCCTTTCTCTCTCCCATCACCCTGTCGCTGAGTTGCTCTCCTGGACCTCCAGGACCTGCTGTCGGGGGAGGGGGGGGATGCTTTTTCCCTTAACCGCAGGCTGGAGGAGCATCACTCACTGGTGATGGCGAGCCTGCCTCACACCCGCCTCGCTGCGGATGCCAGGGCGGGGTTCTGGAGGGTGACAGCGGTGCCCGGCCACACACTGTGACCCAGGACCTCCCCGCTCCGGCCGGGCTCTGCGACCTTCTCATGTTGGCCACAGCTGCAGAGTTAATTCGATTTTGGTGGCCAGGCCTTGTCTAATTTAGTCAATAAACTGGATACCTTTACCCAGAATGATCCAGACACCAAGGTTTTCCTATGTCACTCACCTGAGTTTTGAAATACTCATGTAATGTTCCCGTGACCAAAATAAGATATTGTTCAAATCTGAGACTTTTGGGGAAGCAGAGTGCGGGGGAGAAAAGACGATGCGTCTGGAATATAGACCCGGAGAAAGAAAGCACCAAATACAATCAGAAATTCATCCAAGTCATATTCTCCTAAGAATTATCTTACCTACTTCCAGAGACAGCTGAGGTCATGTGACTACGTCACAAACTGTGGAACCAAACAGGTTAACCTGCATTCGGTCTAACAGATGTTCTCTGGAGAAGCTTAGATGCTCCAGTGGTGCTTTGTTTTGAACCAGGTTGGGAGCTCATCGTCTGTCCTTCCTTCCTAGACCCCATAGCAAAGACCTCCCACCGGGACTGGTATGCCACAGCGGCAGGACCTGTGCGGACAGGGGTCCCAGCAGCCACGGGATGCAGGGAGGCCACCTGCCTCCCAGCCTCTGCCAGGCCTGTGCTGGCCGCCCCTCCCCTGCGAACCTCGCACAGGGCCCCTTCCTGGTCACCAGTAATGGCGAGCTTCTCAATGAGCCCGTCCAGTGGGGAGCCGCCGTCCCTCAGACCCAGGGAGGTACGGTGCCTGGTGAACGTCAACAAGTCACTCCACAGCCCATCCAAGGGTGAGGTCCGGGTCCCTGCAGGTTTCCCTCATCTGTGCTGCCTGTCACTCTGTCCTCCTCCCGGAAAGGGAAGAGACACTGCCCTCAACCTGAGAGCTGGTGCGGTCGCCACAGCCTCCGCTAGAGCCCAGCTGAACTGCCGTCCCCTCAGTCATTTCTCAGAAACCAGGTGGCCACCGTCTTGAGTTCAGAGCACTGAGATGGTGTAAGTACTCTGTAATCGCTTGGCGATGTGAAGTCACCTGCTACTGGTCACGGCAGCGCCTCTTGTGTTGAATCAGAATGACACACAGCCCGGGAGAGGGCGGACCGCCAGGCTGGGAGACAGGCACGACGTGTCTGACGGCAGAGGCACTTGCAATACAACTAAGCACTCACGGGGGGGACCAGGCCTCCGTACACGTGTCTACCAGTCAACACTTTTAGCTGAATTCCTCTTCTAAACTGCTCACGGGCTCACGGTGCTAGAACAGTCAAGATCGTGTACGTGGGATTATATGAGAAATCAAGACTTAAAAAAGGAGCCTGGATTTTTGTCCCTGACCTTTTCAACAAACTCACGTATTAACAAAGAGTCAACATCTAAATAGACTTTTATTTTTTTTCTTTTACTTATTTGGACAGAAAAGAAAATTCATCAGCTTTCATTAGAGTCTCCCTAAGTGTTGGAGACGCATTAAACTCGGAAATAGTGGACCTTGTAGAAAAGCATCACAAATTAAAAATAGATTTCTCCACGTGGTAAAAGTGCTTCCAATCCAATTAAAGGACACGGCGAAGGTGTGTTGAGACGCGATTTAAAATTTGGCCTACGATCCGTGGCATCGGATTAAAGCCACAGGCGAGGTGACCGTCACGAACCCGGGGACAGAAATGTGAGTTGGGAGCATGCCGCCAGCAACACTTTTAATTAACTGAGTGACAAGGAAGAACGTCCCAAAGCCTGAGTAGAGTAGGTTTGCATCTGTAAAAATAAGGGGGCGACATAAACTGGGTCGAAGGGGGATCACGTAACTCTAGGAATGACTTGCTTCTTATCTGCGGGGACAGCCAGACCAGCCGACCACCCTGGCCGAGGTCTCCCAGGGAGACCTGTGGACCTCGGTTCAGAAAAGGCCCAAGTGTTCTGGGCAGTAAGCAAAGCCCTTGCTGCCAGCTGCTCGTCACATAGGCCTTTCTGGCTGGCGGTGAGCAGGCCCCCGGCCCGCGGGAATCACGCCCAGCCAAGCTGGTACCGGTGGGTTTGTCAATGCCCACCACAGCGTTCTGAGGGGTGCTGTGAGGCCGGCAGACACTGCCCGGTGACCATGCGAGGGATAGAGTTAGCCAGTGGTCATCCGCAGAGACATTCTGGTGTCTCAGCCATGCTGTGTGTTTTCCAAAACAGGTAGTTCTGCTAATGATGACAGAGCTCAAGGCCTGCAGGCCCCCGTGCTCTGATGGAGGCGAGGTGCCCTCTCTGGCCCAGGTCTAGGCCTGTGATCATATGCAAGGAGCCACGACAGGGTGGGGTGAGAGGGGGAGGGCAGAAAAGAAGAGGGATATCTCCTTTTACAGAAGATCTGAAGCAACAGTAAGAAAGTAACCTGAAGACATATTTAAAAACAAAAAGCAGCCTCACACTTCACTGTCATCCTATCGCCGTTCTCCCTTTCTCCGTGTCCACCAGCCACGCAGGGATGGGCAGGAAGGCCGCGTGGACGTATCAGAGGGCCCCGCTCCCCACGCCGTCGCTGCCTTTTAATGGCGCCGGGTTGTGTTTCTTCTTCTACGAGCCCCGTTCTAAGCTGCCTGCGCAAGGCAAACGCTGGAAAACCCTCCGGGCTCCCGCACACACCTGAGCGGTCCCAGCTGCGCAGAGCCCACCCGGCTCGCTTCCCGCCACTTGCAGGCACGGCGAGACGCGGACCACGTCACGGATGTCTCTCCATCTTCACCAAGCAGAGCACGCTCCGGCTCATCTCATCCCATCCCTGGCGCCCCTGGTGGCAGCAGCCCTCCCAGGTCCCCTGTGCTAAGCGGGCTCTCCCGCGGCCTCCGGGGGGTCTTGAGGGTGCCCTCTATGGCCCCTCGCTGGCGGCACGGAGGGTCTGGTTCAGGGCCACACCTGCCGGGTGCTTGCTCCGAGGCGGTGGCCGCTCTCCGGAGGGAGGCCGTGCTCTTCTTTGCGTGGAAAGCGGGATGGTGCCATCCTCTGACCAGGTCCGTCCTGGTCCCTCCAGAGGCCCCGAGCACCCCTCCCGGGCCGCAGCCCCACGCAGGGCGTCTCCGGGTCTCTGGCCGGTGGGTCGGACATCAGGCTCCCCCTCCCCTCCCTGGACCTGGTTCTTACCTAACCTGGGCCGCGCCCCCGGCATCAGAGGCTCGGAGAAGTGTCCTCCAGGCCCAGCAGCTCTCGCACGAGTCTCTCCCCGAACTGGGCCCGGCTGTACCTCTTCACGTGGTAGGCCTCCGACATCTTGTACAGGATGTAGGCGTTATTGATGGCAATGCTTATGGCAAACCAGAACACCTGTTGCCAGGTCTTGTTTGGTTTATGAGAAATGAAATACCTACGAGGACAGAACGGCAAGAAAGGCTGGCTCAGACGGTGCCCGGGGGCCCGGTGCAGGAGAGACATCCCCAAAAGGCCTCATCGGGGTCAGCGAGATGCTGCAGGGGACGCGGCGGTGGGAATCCAGCTGTGGGGAGGGGCAGCCTCTCTCTGAGGCTCGGTCACGTGAACCGTACTTGAACGTGCAAACAACCCCTATCAAAGATCAGGTGGGAGGAGGCGGGTCACCACAGGGGACACCGAGACCAGGAGCCGGGCCTCCGCGGTGCAGCCTGGAGCTCTGGCGGGAACCGGGCCTAGGGGCTCCCCTGCTCGCCGAGGGCCCTGCGCAACTGCGGCACAGCCCAAGCCATCTTGCGCCGCGTCCGCCCGCAGCTCTGTGCGTGTCTCTTCACCACGCCCGCCTCCCCTCAGATGGAGGCCTCCTCTGCCCCGAGGCGGAGGACGGCGCTTCGCCCCGGACCGCCAACTCAGAACCCATCCCTGCACCGCGCCCTCCGTCTGCACGTGTGTCTCTGCACCCGGGGGGCCAGGGGCACCACCGAGACGCCCAGCCAGGGCGGCCATGGATGTCCATTCGCTCAATCGTGCCGATTCCCCTGGAGCCACCGCGCAGGCCCGCGAGGTGCCAAGCACACTGCAGGCTCCGTGGAGCCCGTCCAGTGACTCCCTGGGCAGCAGGGCTCCCTCTTACACCCGGGCTTTCCCAGGAGACCCAGGTCCACGTGCTGCCCTCCTCGCCCACAAGCAGCCCGGGGAGACGTCCGTGGCCCTCAAGGAGGGCTGAGAAAATGCCCACCACCTTTGGGGTTAGTGCAACCCTGTTTCAGGCTGTGAGGCTCAGGCCCAGTCATTTCATAGGCAGACCGAGGTTCAAGGGCAATCACTTTTTCCCTCCTGTTGTGGACACAGGAGCTCGCCCCGAGACAGCAGGGGGCCGTGTACATGCACACTGTGCGGGCACTTCACGACGACCCCACACCTGAGACTGCGCCCGCACGCGAAAGAGCTCCGTAACCAGTGCCGGAAAACATGTGGCCCAGCCCGACGGCGCCCAGGGCCCAGAGGGTGTGGGGTGAAGGCCAGCGGCTGGGCCGGGGGGGAGGGGCAGAGAGGGCATTGGTGCAGGAGGTGGGGGGCTGGGGGGGCCAGGCCGCGGGCCCAGGATTTTCTCTCTCGGGCTCTCCCGTTGTCAGCTCTGAACCTGGGGAGACTGACCGCCCAGCAGCCCCCCTGCTCTCGGCGGCGAGGCCTCCCCTGCCGGGGCGCCGGCTCACTTACTTGCTGTACTTGTCATCGTACTTGCAGATGTAGCTGAGGTGGGCGGCGAAGGCCTCCACGGCCAGGGGGCAGGGGATCTCCCCACTCCTCCTCTTGATGATCACTCCTGCGGGAAACAGTCGGAACATCCCCTCTGAGCCACCCCCCGCAGACCCCCGTGCAAAATGCGCCCCCTCCCCCCTGCCTGCTCGTCAAATAGACGGCAGGGGACGAGATGGAGGGAAACCACAACCAACACCGCCACTGCAGCTTCAGGGGAGTGCAGGACACCAGGCCACGGCAGGGCCACGGCACGGGGGCACGGCACAAGCCACGGCATGGGCCACAGCAGGGGAGGAGATGGAGGGGAACCACCACCAACACCGCCACCGCAGCTTCAGGGGAGTGCGGGGCACCGGGCCACGGCAGGGCCACGGCAGGGGGGCATGGCAGGGCCATGGCATAGGCCACAGCAGGGGGCATGGCAGGGCCACAGCAGGGGCCACGGCACAGGGGCATGGCAGGGCCACGGCACAGGGGCATGGCGGGGGGGAGATGGAGGGGAACCACCACCACCACCGCCCACCGCAGCTTCAGGGGAGTGCGGGACACCGGGCCACGGCACGGGCCACGGCAGGGCCCGCTGCACCCGATGGGGCCTTGAGAGCAGGAGGGGAGCTCAGGACCCACCTTCCCCCTCCCTCCCTCCCTCCCTCCCCCGGGCTTCAACCCCTCCCGCCAGGGTCTGAGCGGGGGTGGGAGGAGGTGGCCGCCAAGGTCAGGGAGCCGGGGGTCCCTTCCGCCTGCCCCGCCACCCCCATCAAGGCAGAGGGTGGCACTAGAGGCTCAGGAGAGGCAGGAGCTGCCCCGACCCCAGGCTCTTCCACGCCTCGCGCCGCGCACAAAGTGCTTCACACCCAGCCGCCCCTGGCGCTCCCTCTCTCACACGCCTTCAAACGCCTCTTCCTCCCAAATACACATGGAACCGCGCGTCCCAGGGCCACTCGCCAAGGTCACGGCAAGATTCAAACGGCCCACTGACCGGGCATGAGAAGCAAGAGGCCATCAGTCCTCTTCAGCCTACTGCCCAACAACCTGTCTTCCAAGACCTGCCCCGCCCGCCTGGGTGGACGTCCACTGCGCCCACGGAGGTGACGCGGCGGCGGGAAGGACGCTCCTGTGAGCGAGGCCGGGATTACAGAGCGCTTCCTCCGCGCCGCCCGCCCCCATCCGCGCTGCCCGCAGAACGGTGTGATTAGCGGAACAGTGCCATTCAAAGGGCTGTGGGTTTTCAGCACTACTTAAATAGGCGTAACCGAAGTAGAAATGGTCACACAGGTCCATCTGCTGAGGCTGAGCCCTGAGCCGGGATCTCTTTCGTCTCCCACCCCACTCCCCCAGTACTGAATTTTTGCACTGAAGAAGCACCTGGACATCTTGTGAGAGACTGAGAAGCCAGGCCCCGCCCCTAGAGCTGTGGTCTGGGGAAGCCCGGGGCAGGACCTGGGCAACACACTTCCTAAAACCTCCAAAGCTCAGAGGATCTCCGTGCCCAGCCAGAGGGTCCTGGGCCCTGGTTGCTTAGGGATCCTTTCCCCACTCAGAGAGACGTTCTATGGTCGGGTGATGCAGCCGCATGTGCATCCTTCATGGCTGGGCTCCTGCCTCCAAGGAGGGCTGTGTCTCTGCAGCACCCTTCCTGAGGGGACCTGTGCTGGTGTCTTTGCTCACCACCCCGCCCGACCTCAAGTCCAAGTGGGCAAACACCCCAGTTTCACACCCCGGCCCAGGCACATGGCCTTGGGAGGTTTCCCACCTCCAGCTCCATTTTAATTTGCCCGACTTTCGACCACAGCCTCCTCTGGGACTAAGGAGGCGCCTGTAGGGCTCCCCGGAGTCCACGTGTGTATGAGCAGATCAGACCATCCCATAAGGAAATAAAACCCCCTCAGTTCTTTTCCCAGAGGAAGAGGACAACTCACTCCGAGTCACCAGGGCTCCCAGCGGGTCAGGCCCACTGTCCGAGGGCCTCGGCCAGCACCGTGCCCCTGGGGCTCCCCGCCTGCAGCTCCGGCTGCCGCCTTCTGCACAGCCAGGGCCGCCGCTGTCCCAGCACACCCAGCCGTGCCAGGCCTGCTTTCCTTCTCCATTTCCCTCCCATCCCTTTGAATGTTTTAACTCAACATGAGGATTGCAGCTGGAAATCTCAGGGGACTGGTTTCAAAATCCAGGTGTGCGTCAGTTTCTTTGAGCATTTCCCCAAGTTCATAAGCCAGTCCACACTCCTCTCTGCTGACGTTTTGGATTTTAGATACTATTCGAGCTGCAAAGGGTAAGACTGCTGTCCTATAGTATCCTTTTCTGAGGACTGAAAAGCTTTAGACATTGGAAATACTGACAAGAGGTGATGTGACATTTATTGTGTCCTCTGGCATCATAACCAGGAATGCCGTGCTCTCCTGGGTGCACCCTGTACATTTACAGCCGTGTGGGGGACCCTCTGCGCACAGCTTTATTCCACGTGTCTACCTCTGTGACACTGTAGGTCCATGTGAGCCTATGAGAGAACCACGTTGTCTTCATGTTCCAGTGAGTTCTGTCTCCTGCCTTCCCCAGGCTTTTTCTGGCTGGGCTGACCTTCTTTCCGTCCTTCTGTAAGCCTGAATGAATGAGTCAAGACCTGACTCACAGACCCATGCAGACATTCCACACTCACATTAGCCTCATGGAAACTGAACCCTAAGTGGGCAAAGACGGAGATGGCAATGAGATGGTGGACTCGAAATGGATTCTAGAAGAAACGCAAAAGGATGTGGTTCTCAACGGGGATGTCCCTGGATGAATGACAGCATGTAACTTAAAAAGCCTGCATGTGCTCACCGTCTCTGAAAGAGGGCTCATTTCCCCTTAGAACCTGGGGTAAAGAATAATAAATCAATCCCTAAAATGTTCATAACTAGTTAAATGTTTGCTAAAATTCGAAATTCTTCTCATGTTCTAGAAGAGCAAATACGGTCACGGTAGAAGACGGTATAAAGCTGAGAAGCAGCCTTTAGAATACAGGAGACTTTGTCATCTGGGTGACATGTAAAGTAGGTAGAGAATAAAAGAATTCTTTGATAAATGGTTCAGGTACACAGGTGGGGCTGCCTGGTCAACCAACCTTTGCTACTTAAAGAAAAAAAACATCGTAGCTGCCCAGCTGGTGCCATGACCAAAATAAATTCCAAGTGGATGGCTGCAAAGAGCACAAACTCGCCCTATGAAACAACCAGGTGAACTGTACTTACCTGGCCTTGGGACAGAGCTGGGGCTTTTAGGCATGAGAGCAAATAACATGATCAACAGCTGTGCCTATGCGGAAATGAAAAACGCTTTTGATGTGAAAATTACTGGCCATAAATAAAAGCAAAAGGAAAACAAATGAAGAAAAATGTCTGCTATAGGCATAAAATCTGCTTTCAATTTCGGAAGACAAATACTTCCAATGAAAAATTGACAAGAACATGAAGAAAGCATTGAAACTTAGCTAAAAACACAGGAAAAGATGTTCAATCCCAACAACAGTCACCGCAATTTATATTTAAAATTCTGCAGCATTTTCAGCCATCATATTGACAAATTTAGAAAAAAAAAAACAACTAGTGTTGATAAAGCAGGAGGAATAACCCACTGCAACGGCAATAAGTACAGCCTTTTGGCAACACAGCATCAAGAGCCTTAAAAACGTTCAGACCCTTTGGCCCAGCCGTTCAACTTTTAGATTTATCTGGAGGAAGTGATCAAAGATGTACCTGAAGATTTATATATGAAGATCTTCACTACATCATTCTTCATATTATGAAAAAAGGATCATTCATAGGGGCCAAGATAAAGAAATTATGATACATCTAAGGATGGAATATGAGGTGCTTTTTATTATTATTATTTTTTGGAGGGGGTACGCAGGCCTCTCACTGTTGTGGCCTCTCCCGTTGCGGAGCACAGGCTCAATGGCCATGGCTCACGGGCCCAGCCGCTCCGCGGCACGTGGGATCTTCCCGGACTGGGGCACGAACCCGTGTCCTCTGCCTCGGCAGGTGGACTCTCAGCCACTGTGCCACCAGGGAAGCCCACGAGGTGCTTTTTAAAAATCATGTCTTTGAAGTACACCGAAAGGAAAACTACCTCCTTCATTAAGAAACGAGGCCCTAGGATGTGGGCCAGGAGAAGGACTCCCGGTGGGGCGCGTGCCGGCCACACGGCCTCCGCTCTGAGCCCCCTGGGCCGCACCCAGGGTCTCCTCTCACCTGCCGGGCTCCCAGTGTCCACAGGCCCTGGGGGTGCCCAGGGGCCTGGCGGTGGGGGTCAGTCTGTGGCCAGGCTGTGGACACACTCCATGGGATTTTCAAGGGCGACTAGGATTGGGGACTGCATGATGTATAATAGAGTACGTACTTTAGAAAACTACCACGGAATTGAACACAAATACCAGTTTCGGCGTATTTAAAAATCACCCCTCCCAATTTTCTCATCTAGCCTCAACAGCCTCCCGCCTCCTTCCCTTGGTGCCTGATTTAAGGGTTCTCAGGTGTGTCATCTTCAGTCCTATTGCAGGCTTCTCCCTAACCTCCCCAGGTGCGGTCTTTTCTCTGCTACCTCATTTCACCCAGCTCAGACAGGTGCGAAGTCCTTGCTTCGGGACATCGTTTCAGAGACTATCATTTAACATAACTTGGTTGGAAGCAGCTCCCATGCCCTACGCCCACACCTGTTCCTAGAGACTCTCTGGCCCCAAGGCCCCAACCGCAAGAGAGCCGAAGTCCAACTCAAACTGGCCTTCAGCTGACAAGGTCAATTCCAAACCTCTCCTCTAAGTGCCCTTGACATAGCACTCGAGGGGAGGGGTGCCGCTTTCTCCACCCCCTACACATAAGTAGGGTAACGACACCCACGTGCTTGAGTACCTCGATTGCAATCTCCACTGAAATGTAACACAACTTAGGTGTGTGTGTGTGGGGTGAAGGATGGGAATAAATGAACAAGAGGTACTAAATACCCACATACCACATACATGCACACATACCACGCACACGCAGACATACACACACACATCACACACCCCTGAGCTCCTTGGCAGTGTTCCTTTAATAGAGAAGAGGAAAGACGTCTTAATGTAAAGGAACACAAGGGACTTTTCAAATACACTACGCAACGATAAATATTTTTGTAAAGGGTCCCTTTGTCTCTGCAATTTCCTTTTCTGTTGTTTAATCGTGTTTGAGCTGTAGGTTACCTTAAATATAGGCTCCTTGCTAAATGAATCCCCTTGTTAGCAATGGATTTTAAAACCCAAGGAAAATCAATGATACCAGCTGAAACCCCCAAAACCCAACGCTAGCGATTAACTTCTAAGGAAGACATTTCAAAGATAAGAATGGTTGACTATTCCCCCGCCTCCCATCAGAACAGATTTTTCACAGAATCCTAGATGATGATCATGTAAATACCGTTCAAACGGAGCCTATTAATCACACCGCGTTCGACCTGGGGGACCTGCAAATGCCAGCCTCACGGCTTCTGTTGACGGCTGGCAAGTCCCAGGCAGCGGACAGCCTGCGGGCCCAGGAAGCGCTTGCCGCCCCGCGAAGGGCAGCAGCCGTCACCCTGCGGCCCAGAGCCGAAGAGGGGCAGGGGTCACCCGACGCCAGAGCTCACCCACACCCCTGCCCCGGCGCCCACCGCGTGCCCACCTTGCTGCACGGGCGAGTAGGCGTTGGTCAGGAAGCGGAAGTGCCCCTTGTTGTACCAGCAGATCAGGGACATGCTCCCCTTCGTTCGGATGCTGTGCTGGCCCCGGGCGGGCGGCAAGGCCGGGCTGTTCAGCATGGAGGGCGGCAGGCCGGTGCAGTCACTCTTCCTGGGGCTGAGCAGCCCGCAGCAGTAGATCCCTGCGGGGACACGGACCGCACGGCCTCAGGGCGTCTCCCCCCGACCCCCCGGGCTCGGCCCTCGGGGGCCCCCTAGAAGAGATGGTGAAGTCCGGGGGCTTTCATCCCATTTGTGCTGCCGCCCCCAACTTCCAGACGTACTAAGATCGCAGGGAAGAGCTAACGCAAGCAGGGCGTCAGCAGTAACAACAGCAGCTCTCGCGGCCAGAGGGCTGGCTACCTGCCAGCACAGGGCTGAGCCCGAGGACCCAACCTCCCACCTGCTTCTAAAAACTTCTGAGCACATGCGATGCACCAGAACTGCAGGCTCCCGGCTGGGCGGGCAGAGACGGGCATCATTAGCACAGATCTGTCTGCCATCTAAGCCTGACCCAGCTAGTCACCCTGCCCCCTCACCAAGACTCGCTGGGCACCCGGGCAGCCCCGGTCCCGTGCAGCCAAGTGAAAGGCAGAGGAGGCAGGGAGTCCTCACAGGACACGTGCTACACAGGGTCCTGCCTGTGCTGTACGCCAGGCCCCTGGGGGGGGCGGGGCTTCCCTGGGGCGGGGCTTCCCTGGGGCGGGGCTTCCTGGGGGGGCCTCAATGCCCAGCACGTTCCACGGGGCAGGAGACCCTCCAGGCAGAGACCAGCAGGAACAAGGAGGCTTCTCTAAATTCCGCAGGGACCCAAGGTCTTTCCCAGCCCTCCCTGCTCGTGGTCTCCGGCTCTCCCTGTGCCCAGGAAGCAGTGGGGAAGCCCGCCCCTCCCCACACCCGCGGGGAGGGGGACGTGAAGGGGCACTTTGACTGAAGGCCCGCGAGCAGTCCGCCCCTCCGGGCTCACTGACACTATGGGCACATGTCCCAGGCCCATGCGCTCCTCTCCACTGCAACCCCCCCAATGCTGAAAGGACCGCTGATGACTTCCTGTCCTCCTTGCCGCCCCAGGAGCAGCAGTGGGTGAAGAATAACACCCGCGGGGGGGTGTGGGGGGGCAGGCCCAGTCTTGCTGCCAGAAAAAAGAGGGCTCCCTGCGGCTCCCATCTCTACAGATCCAACTACCCAGACTCTGCTGGCCTTGAGATTTAAGAAGAACGTGTCTTCCAAACGGGGAAGAGGATTAGACAAATGGGGATAACGTTTTAAATCGCCCATCGGGCTCGGTGAACCCACCCACCCAAAGGGCAGCTGCATTCTCCTAACAGGGGAGGAAGAGAATCCAGCAGCACACGAGTTTACTTATGAAAACAGCCCATCTTGTGTGAATATCCTTCCTGGCTGTTGTTTGACAGGAGGGACAGCCAGACTCTCAGCTGGGACTCCTGTCTTCAACCCTGGCCACCCTGCCCGTTAGACGCCCCTGGGGGCACCAGGCCAGACAAGGCAGTCAGAGTCCCTGCGGATGGGGGGCAGCCATCCGTGAGCGACGTGGAGACAACCTCCCCGCGTGTCAGTCATCACAGGGGAAGCCCAGGAGGTCGTGTGGGAGGGCTCACAGCCTCAGATGCTTCTAACAAACAGGCGAAGAAATCTCTGTCTACTCTCGGAAAACTTCAAATTCCATGTCTAATTATTTTCTTCCCACTGGAAGATTCTCCTCCATCCTCCGCTAATTCCCCGTGAGGGGAGGGCCCAGGCCAGCAGCCCAGCTCTCAGGGAAGCCTCTGGCGTCCTCACTCAGCACCCCACCAGCCCACATGCTGCAAGCGGGTCCTGACTACGTCATGCGGCTCTTGGCCCAGGAGACAGGGACACCCACGGTGTGGGGCAGGGAGTGGGCCTGCAGGGCACACGGATGCTGTGGGGGGCAGTTCTGGGAACCCCAGCGGCCATGCACGTGACACTCACCCTGGGACCCGCACGAGCGGGCCAGCGGGTCACCCCACGCTCTGACATGGGCACCCATTGTGCTGGGTTAAAGTGCGTCAGCGCCAGTTTTCTCCAACTTGGCTCCACGGCCCCTCTTCACATAGTCTGACCTCTCCACACGGAATTCTCTCAACAATTAAGCCCTGAGCCCCGTAGGGACCAGGCTTACAGATGAGTAAGACGCAGCCCAGGCCGGCAAGAGCACAGGGTCCAGGCTGAGGCCGTAGGTCGGAAGCTGTGGGCTCCCCATTACTTAAGAGGGTTTGTTTTTTTTCTTTTTTTTGGCTGCGTCAGGTCTTAGTTGTGGCACACAGGCTTCTCTCTAGTTGCAGCACGCAGGCTCTCTAGTTGAAGTATGTGGGCTCAGTAGTTGTGCACGGGCTTAGCTGTCCTGCAGCAGGTGGGATCTTAGTTCCCCGACCAGGGACTGAACCCACATCCCCTGCATTGGAAGGCGGATTCCTTACCACTGGACCAGCAGGGAAGTCCAGAGGAGGTTTGGTTTTAAGGGCAGACATCAGATCTGTTGCTAAGCAACAGGTCTGCAATTCCAGCGTCTGGAGTAGCTGAGTGGGGGCTTTCTGTGTTTCTCCCGAGTGGACTGGATATAAATCCCAGATGTAGGATGAAGTGAAGGCAGATACAACCTGCCATGGGGCTTCCTGACTCGGCCCAGGTCTGTCTCTATAGCCCCATTTCTGCCAGAGCCCTGGAAGGCTTGCCCAGTCTTTGCAACAAACGAACCAGGCATCTTAGCACTGAGGGGAACTAACACCTTTCTGAGGCCCATTGTACTGCTGCCTGTATTAATGCACACAATTCTCTGCCCAGCTGGAAGGGGCCACATTACAGACTGGGGTGGGGAGTTCAGACTTCCTAAGAGTCTTTGTAAGAGCTGTGCCTTGGTGCTGCGGATTTAACATTTGTGTCCGCCACACCCCAAATTCCTATGCCGAAAACCTAATGCCTGAAGTGATGGTATTTGGAGGTGGGTCTTTGGGAGGTGCTTAGGTCATGAGGGTGGAGCCCTCATGAATGGGATTAGTGCCCTTATAAAAGAGGCCCTACACAGCTCCCTAGTCCCTTCCACCATGTGAAGACACAGGGAGAAGTCTGCAACCTGGAAGAGGGCCCTCACCCGACCACACTGGCACCCTGATCTTGGACATCCAGCCTCCAGAACTGTGAGCAGTGAATTCCTATTTATAGGAACTATAAAAAGGATTTATAGGGTGGTCTATAAACCACCCACTCTGTGGTACTTTGTTATAGCAGCCCGAATGGACTAAAACACTAGGAAGACTCCTCGGATGGCCATGGCCTTACCACAAAGGACACAAAGAGATGTGCCTGGAAGACCTGAACTGACCTGTCCCCCAGACCACGAGTCTGGTCTCCCTCCAGACCTCCAGTGCCCAGCAGGGTGCAGGCAGCCGGCAGGTTGGCATGACCTGTCCCCCCGGGGGAGGGCCTCCCCGCCCGGCATCCTATGCTCTGTGCTGCCCGCCACACGCCTGCATCCCCAGCCTTGCCCACCACTTCTCGGGGGCGGGGGACTGCGCTCGGACCCGCTCCCCACTTGCCAAACCTTGCTTTTCAAACTCCTCAAACAGGGTCAGGCTGGTGATGCTGGGCCCCGTGAAGATGATGTAGTTCCTCCCGGCCGCGGTCCGGCACAGGCTCCTGGCCACCATGCTGTGCAGCTGTGGCTTGTTCTTCAGCGCGTCCAGCCCATCAGGGCCCCCGCCTTCCTTCAGGTGGACGTAAATCTGCAATAGAAACACACAAGGGTCAGTGAGCTCACAGAAAGGTCGGGCAGGGGTCCAGCCATTCTGGAAGCACAGGCTTCCGTCTCCAGGCCGGGTGTGTGGGAAAGCCACCCCTCCTCGGGCTTCCGGTTCCACAGTCCCCACCGATCCCAGCATCTCTGTGGCCCACAGAGGCCACCAGTCACTCCCAAGGCTGCCCATCAGCCTGGTGCCTCAGCCCCAGACTCTGCAATTTAGAAATGTCAAGGTAAAGAAGGGAAAGGTCAAACTGTTACAAGTAATGAATCTGGCAGCTGAGATCAAAAGCAAACACATCCCCCCATTCTGAAGCACAGGAGTCATGTTCACAGTAAACAGAAGTAAAGGCTACTTCGCCTGTAAGAGAGAAACATATCCGTGCACATTCTGTTTGCTTTTTAATTCACAGAGCACATCCACAATTACCCCCTTACTCTTTACAGTAATCACCGTGTGGGCAGAAGGGGTAATACTGACTTCATACTGCAGAGGAGGGGACAGGATCAGGGATTTAAAACTCACCTGACGTCCCAGGACCAGCAAGGATATGCTGCAACTACTACACAATAATTTTAAATTCTGCCCGTGAACATCCTCGAGGAACATCATCTAAGAGGTGGGTGCGGGAAGTGGGAACGGAGTCAAGAAGCGTGTGGTCCTTCCTACGGCTGACTGAGCCACGCAGAATTATCATATGGGTATTAACCACTAACCTTCAGGGAGAACAGCTCTTCTCATGGAACGTTCTGGGTGCCTTTGCTGGCAGCGGTTCACAGACAGTGTGCCCGTCACACTGATCAGGGACCCTGACTGTCCTCCGAGGCACAGAATTGCTGAGTGCAGGCCCATCCGTGCAGACTGAGCACAGCCGAGGGCGGGCACAGGGAGGACCGGCAAGTCCACGGTACCGCCCTCAGGCAAACGACTGCGGACAATCATTCGCAAAATACAGTGTCTCAGGTTCCTGAGGCAGACGAACAGCAGGCGGTGTAGGTCCTTCTCTAAAAGCAGCTCATCCTCGAAGCCTAATTCTGTCCCGAATACTCATCTGAGACGTCCCCAGGGAGGACCGACTTGCCCGCAGCCCAGCAGGCAACAGCGGGATCACGCAGCAGGACCCCAGCACTTCATTTTGGGGTCTTTACGCCTTCACCACCTCATTCCCAGGAGGAACCTCTCTGATAGAGAGTAAAACACCGACACAGAGAAGCCAATCGTCTTGGCCACGTGTCACGTGAGGTTGCGACCGAGCAAGGACATTTCCTCAGAACCCGCCTGCTCTCCTTCAGCAAAGCCCAGTCCTGCGGCTCCCACCATGGGTTCTGCACCAAAGCCAGCTCCGACTCACGGCCCCTCCCAGGTATCCTGCCTGAACTGCTGGCACAGCCACGCTGGGCACTGTGTCCCCAAACCTACCTGGGGACAGTTAGTTTTGTCCCGTGTGTCCCTCGAAAAGCAATCATCTGGCTACACACACCCAGGATTCTCACCAGGGAATAGAAGGTGTGCTGCTGGAAACTCTCAGGCCAACCCTGATGACACCCCATGTGGCTTCCAAAGTCCCCCTGAGAGACGGGCAGACCGTGGCATAGTTGGCCTGAGGCAGGCAATATTTCATAGGATGAAATGCAAAATCCTACAACCAAGTTCAAAATCTTAACTGCATCTAGTACAGGATGCAAGAAACGTGACTTAGCAAGAATATTTTTGGAAAACAAACACTAAACCCTTGGAGATGGCCAACTGCAGGCCTCAGATACCATGACTGGCCTAAGTGATCATGACCCGCATTAAAAACCAGGGTGGTGAGCATCTCATCCTTCCCTGGTCAGGCGTAAAGAGAAGGGTGGTGGTCGGCATATTAGTTTGCTAGGGCTGCCATGACAAAGAACCACAGAGGAGCACAGAGGACTCCAAGAACTTTGCTTTGGCTAGAGAGCTGTGTCATGGAATGATGATTAAGAGCTTTCTAAGGCAAAACCAAGATGAATGTATACAAACAGAAAACAGATCTGCAAGCATCAGAGCCCTTACTAACACTCAGAGCTGTCCAAACACTGAATGGGTGCCCTCAGAGAGGCTCCAGGACAAGCTGGTGGCCCCTCGGGAGGTCTGAGCTTCAAGTGCAGGGGGTGTATGCCAGTGTCGGAGGACGGTTCAGAACCACACAGATGCCAAGTTCAGGTGCCCCAACAAAGCGGCACATAAGACCCTGGAGCCAGCAAGGCTAAACGTGGCCATCGCAGGGCGAGCGACACCAGAAGCATAACCTTGCCCTGGAGCCAGCAAGGCTAAACGCGGCCATCGCAGGGCGAGCGACACCAGAAGCATAACCTTGCCCTGGAGCCAGCAAGACTAAACGCGGCCATCGCAGGGCGAGCGACACCAGAAGCATAACCTTGCCCTGCGTCAGTCCTAACAGCAAAGGGTGTTGGAGTCTAAATTCAGAGAACACCGCTTCTCTCCTGGATCTAATAATACCCTGGAGAGAATCACGTCTTTCTCACCAACCGCTTTCCCAGCTGAGGCACTGCGTGAGCCAGGGCCTTATAAACTTGTTTCCAGCAATAAAGCCAGTGTTTTGGAAGGTGGGTTATCCAGGCTCCCGGATATGAGATGCTTTCAAAACATCACCCCCCTGGATTTCCAGACCCGACTCAGCTGCACAGACTGGTGTCCTCCCCCGTCCCGCCCCCGCCCTCTTTGGAAGCGTGGATGTCCTCGGGGTCGGCGGGTGGGGAAGGGGTGGCACGCAGGGGCGGTGAGGACCTGCCACAGTCCCTGTTGGGACAATGCTGGGAAGGGAACCGGGGCGCCCGGTCAGGGGACAGTGGATCCCTCACACGGCCCCGAGAGACTGGCCGCTTCTGTTCATCACAAGACATGCACCAAGGTATGTGAGCCAGGAACTGAAGGCAAGGGAGGACCGTCTTGTCTCAGACTCACCCATCAGGGCAGAAGAGGGCCGAGGCACCAGCTCCCACTTAGCAGTGATGTGCAGCCCTTCCCAGGACCCAGAGCTGCGAGACATCCCCTGAGGTTGTGTCTCAAAGTACCTCCCCTACTTGCCAGGCCACGGGCAAGGTGACGCGTGCCCCCTTCAGGGCAAACGTTGTCACTCCGCAAAACAGTGAGGCGTCAGGACTGCGTTGTGACTTTTGTGGGCCCTTTTGCTTCCACGGGCCTCTTCCTCCATGAAAAAGTATTTGAAATTATATTTTACAAGTGCATTGGCATACAGAGAAGTATTACACGTCGAAGCACTTCCTGCAACTTACAAGTTCGTTATTTTGTCCCTTCTGATTTTAAGAGAAACAGAGACACCGTCGCAGGCCCCTGAAGTGCTGTGGGCCTCGGCACTGATCCCGTCGTGCTGTGGAGCCATCGGCCCCGGGCGGGCGGGTGAGGGAGGAACACACGAAGGCCGTGAAGCGGTGGCCCGGGCGGCAGGTGGTGCGGGCGGGATGCGCGGGCCCCGGCGTGGTGGCGCTGAGGGCCGTCCAGGCAGCAGCTACGCACAGAGGAAGGTGGAAAGAGGAGACGGTCGGGCGGGCAGATACAGGGGAAGAGTCGGCGCCTGTGGGTGCCAGGGGCTGAGCCGGGCCCCTGGGTCGCCAGCATTGGGGGGCGGGCCGCGGAGGAGAGGCTCACAGGGAGGCGTCGGGGGGATGGGGGGGAGGGCACCCGGAAGAGGAGGGAGGGCTCAGGAAGGCCCAACAGCCCGGCTGGAAAGCAGTGACCAGGGGGGACACCCGAGGACGCTGGTGACTCCTCCAAGGCCACGGGGCTCGATGCAGAACTGAAACAGAAATTCTGTTTCTAACTACATGTTATTTAAAATCCGGTCTAAAGGACGATTTCTACCTTCACACACACAACTGTCCTCTCCTCACGCAACTTATTCAGTATTTCTGGACAGATATCCATACTCAAATGTAGACACATTGTGCACTTGCCGCTCCTTTTCTGCTGGGTCACGAGTCACCACAAGCCTAGTGGCTTATACAACACCCGCTGGCACCCCGGCTCTGCAGGGCACCGTCAAGGTTCTGCTCAGGGTACTTCGGGGCTGCAATCAATCAGCATCGCTGGCTGTGTGCGCCCCGTCCCCTGCTGGCACGAGCCGGGGCGGGGGCTCTCAGTTCCTAGAGGCCCCTGCCCTCTCCCCCCAGGGGCCCCTCCATCCTCAGAGCCGGCAGTGGAGACTCTCCCTTGGGTTGAATCCCTCCTGTGCTACAAGTCCCTTTGCCAAGGAGAGCCCTGTTCCTTTTAAAGGCTCACCTCGTTAGGTCAGGTCCACCTGGGATCATTTCCTTTTTAAAGTCAGCGGGTTTAGGACCATAGTTATACCCGCAAAATCAAATTCCCTCCACAGCAACACCTAGATCAGCGTTTGAGTGAAGAGCTGGGGCCATTACACGGGGGCGGGAATCTGTGGACGTCTTCGATTCCGCCTGCCACCCACGGGGGCACAGCGTTTCAACAGCCGCGTGCCTATGCACCTGACGGACCCAAACACCACGGCTGATGAAGGGAACGCTCCCCCATCTCAGTAGTAACACCAGCAGGGTGCCAATGATGTCATAAAGTTGCTGATGTAAAAGTAAAGTGGATGATGTCAACTTTATTCCCTGAAAATAGACTGATTCCATGTACAACGTACGGAGACCAGCAGTGAGACCTCCCTACCCAAACACCCCACACGGGTGAGGGTTTGGGAGTGTTCATCACTGCTGGGAACGCTGCCTTGGTAGTACAATCTTTGTGTGCGTGCGTGCGTGTGCGTGTGTGCATGTAGATATGTTGACTATACCCTTAAATGGCTATTTTTATATGTTGCAAGTATAGATAATTTGAGATTTTTGTTTTGGATGCTAAACACTCAAGCCAATTTAATAAAAAAGACAAACTAAATATAATTATAGAAGAGCCCCCCATCAGGGTTACCCAAGCATAGGCCCACGTGGAACTCGTATCTACTC